TTATTATTATTATTATTATTATTATTATTATTATTATTATTATATTTCGTTTTGTTTTCATATCGATTACTTTTTTCTTGTCCTGTAATTTCATTGGGCAGTATTTTTTACCCTTGATTTTGTTATCAACCAATCAAATTACTCGATAGATTACATTCAAGATCATGGCTGAAGGTCTCGGAAGGTATAGCTGGAAGTTGCTGGAAGGTATAGTTTAGACTCATCCACAGCCTCTCTCGTTTTCGCCGCACGCCAACGCACGCCGGGTCTCCGCCGGGTCTCCGCCGGGTCCAAGTTTTCGGGACCCAAAGTCCTTTCGGTCATTGTACCGTTACAGTCTATAAGCGTGGAGACGGAACGTACGAGTGAGAGACAGTGGAAGAGTCTATCGATAGTTGTGATCTTTCAATGAAGAAATGTCGTAAAATCAACGAGAAAACTAAATGATTCTCTTCTATCGTAACGACAAATCAATATGTATACAGTCAATTCAAAAAGTGTTGTCGTCGACCAACTCAAGCCTAAGCGACTGGACCGAAAGGAACTCTGGGTAGTAATCATTGAAGCCGAGTTGACTCCATAATTTTATCTGACTAGTTATGCCTGGTTTACAGCACGAACCTTCGTAGGCGAGCGGGAAGTGTTGAAGGAGACGTTTTTTTAATGCCTTCATATTTTCGGAAATCTGAACTGAATCATAACTACTTTGATTTTCTTTCCCTAAACCCAAAGACATACATTTGATGGATTGTTTCTCGCCATTATTATCTTATTACTAGCGGGAACAATTTATTCAGAACGAATATTTAACCGCTTCAGTGATTTTTACCCATATTCCTTTCGGTCCAGTCGCGTAGGCTTGAGCCGGTCGACGACAACGTTTTTTGAATTGACTGTATACCTAGAGACTTCTGAGAGCTCAGAAATGTTCAATGGATGTTCTTTCATTAATGTTGTCAAAGGAAACTTCAACATGCTGAACTCTCACTCACTTGCGATAAGGTAAGAAAAGTTTTTTTTTTTTTTACTTTTAGAATTTAGAAAGATGGAGCGAAATGTAGATGTTGTGTCATTTCACTTTTCAAGTATGTTACATGCGTTGTATTTGTTTCGTTTCTGTGGTTGTTTCTGTTAGCTTTATTTGCTTGTTTTAGTTCTGATTGTCATCAACCATACCCCTCTCTCCCCAATCTCTTTCTTTCTTTCCTTTGTTAGACTAGAACATTGTATAGTTTTTAATATGATACTCTAAATTACTAACATAATATTAAAGATAAGATTCTAGAAAGATATGCAAAAGATCATTTTTACAACATATTAAAAACTAACCACCTCTAGTACTACTCGTTTGAGCCATAGTTCCCCTCTTTTAACTATGATTTGTTTAATTTTTAGAGGAGTGACTAAAAGAGGCTTACATAATTTGACTATAAAAGGCTAACATATCTTAGGATTTCATCTTATTCTTTAATTTTTTATTATTATTATCATTTTCATCAACATCTTCATTATCCCCTAAATCTCCCCTTTAACACCAAGAAATAAGAAGTGAACAAGTGAACATTACAAATTATGGTAGTTAATTATGGAAGTTAAATTCCTTAGAATGTGATCTTGAAAACTGAACATTGAATCTGTGGCTTAATTATGATGCCAGTCGGGACAATAAATCTTGCATTTCTTTCTTTTCTTTTTTTTTTTTTTTTTTTTTTTTTTTTTT